TTTTTTTTTTTTTTTATTTGATCCAGAATGTTGTGAAAAAGCCAAAACTGAAAACCAAAAGCAAAACTTTTTAGACATACAACCATACCAAATAGAACAACCAAACCAATGCACAAGCTGTACGAGCATGTGTGTGAGTGCGTGTGTGCGCGAGTGTATGTGTGTGTGTGTGTGTGTGTGTGCATGTGTGTAGGTGTAAAGATAATTCTCTTGCATACAAAAAACCAAACCGTACAACATGCGACACACTTGTTGGGCAAGATGATATCAGTCAGCGCTCATTTTAGACGGTTTGAAGCAGAAGTCTGGTCATTTTCAGCCTCAGCCTGTTTTCACACAGTTTTCTACTCGCACTGATCGACTTTCTGTTTGTCTTCTGCGTCTTGTAGTGCACAGATTTAGGTCATGTCTGAAAGAAACGCAAGAAAAAGCTCTCAACTGGTAATAAGATGCACAAACTTAGTTTGTTTATGATCATAAACGGACGGGTGACAAATGAAAGGAAAACGAATGTCGAGGGAACTATTCCCACCACTTAACTGAATGCATGGCTTTAAGGTTTTGCAAAATCTAATTTACTAATTTAGATAAACCTTTGAGGTTTAAAACATTATTTCAGTGGATCGCATTGAAATAAGAGTGTTGCATTAACTTAATATTGAGTGAAATTTAAAGTCAAACTTCTGCATTAGTTGATTCAACCCTAAAACTTCAAACTAGATTTTTCTTCATTTTAAGTCCTCGTGCCTATATAATTAACATGGGGAAAATAAATTATATATTTTTTCAATTTGCCAACTTAAAGCTTGTTTTAGTTTTTTCTTTTCGTACAACGTGGGAATACAAGTTGAAACAACTTCATTTTTATGAGTAATCAACCTAAAAACTTGAGTTTATGTTACAAATTTTTAAGTAAGTCACAATAAAAATCCCTTTGATTGTAGAGGAAAAGCTCATTCCTCTGACTCGCTGGAGTTTGTTGGTTGGACAGAATTTCATTAGACGTTGTCATAACTCAACACGATTGATGTTGCCATATTTTTTCTGTTCAGCCCAAACATTATATTTTAGAGTGTAGAACAGTTTCATAGATACTTGGCGTTTGTTCTCCAAGTTTCTTAGACTTTACTCGAGAGACAGAACGCCATTCTTCGTATTGATGATGGTGTTACAAAGTTCTGTCCAACACTTGAGACCAAAACCTCCCGTAGACCAAATCGTTTTCCTCAAAGCACTCAGTGACCCCTCAGGCCCTCTGGATGGCAGCATTGTTGTCCTGGAGGAGACCACTCCCATCAGGAGAGAAAAGTTCCGTGGCAGGATAAAGGTGATCACTCAGAACAACTTTGTATTGATTTGCAGTGATTCTTCCCTTTACGGGACAAGTGGACCCAAACCATCCCAGCAAAAGGCCCCCCACAGAATAACCTCCTCGCTGTCGGGGTCACACATTCAGGCCTTTACTTCTCTTCACCTGTAATCGCCCACTTGTCGAGAATAAGAGCAACTCATCTGACTTCAGCGCTTCTTTCCACAACTTTTGTGGTTTTTGCACAGATGTGCGTTCATGTCCTCTGACATCACTCTCCATGTGATTGTTCTTGAAGAGTTCCTCTTCTGTTTTTTCTAACATATCACACATAAATCTTGATCATCAAACATGCACCATCAACCTCAGCTTCCAACCCTATGACCTGATGTCTTTCCAACAAACCTAAATGCAGATTTAGCCACTTTTTCTACAGAATCCAGTTGAGCAATCTGAAGCTCCTGCCATCTGTGCCCCAACAGTTAGCCATTTTTAAAAGTCACACCATGTTGATATAAAATCAAACTCAACTGGGACATTTTTATCCACACAAGAGCACGATTAGATGTTAATTGAACCTTCAGTGGTACTTTTTCCTTTAATTTGTCCCCCGTCTGTAACTCACCATATGTTTCGATGAGTTGATGTTCAATTTGAGAACAACTTCTGGCCACTTAAACCTAATTCTAAACAAAAAAACAAAAACAGGAGGAAACCTTAAGTAACTCTGACATTTGGAATTTGATATTTTTTCTCAAATGCATCATAAAGGACAAGCACTTGATCCTTGATAAATGATTTTGGAAAGAAAAAAAAAAAACCCTAACCAGCCCTCACTGGGAAAGCAGGAAAAAGCAGTGATGTACTATTTAATTGTAGGTTAACTGGCTGAGAACATGCAGCTCTACAGTGAAGCGGCTGCCGATGTTTTCAGTGAGAAGTGATCGTTGCGATGGCAGACGGTGAGAAGACAGGAGCGAGGCTGAAACCAGACGGAAGCTTTAATGTAAATGGACACCGATACTGAAGGCAACCAACGATACAGATGATATGGGGGAGGGACGTGGGGGGTACAGACGTCAGATTAAAGGCTGTTAACGTCCACTTTTAGAGGGAATGTATCCATTAGTTCTTCTAGGTTTTGTAGGAGGAAATAATATATGTTCAACTGCTCTTACTTGTTGCTCATGTATAAAAGGCTGGGACTATTATCCTTTGATGACGACCGAAGACGATGACTTGATTTAAGAACCAAAAGCTTTAAAACTCTTTATCTCTCACGGGCTCTTTGTTGGAAAAAAAATATTTGTATTTATTGTATGAGGGAGGTGTGTGCTTTTTCGGGGATGGGGGGAAAAAATAGTCTGTTTGTATTTTATGAACTTCTTTGTCTCTCACCTTGTTTATTTATTGATTCTTTATTTATGTATTTATTGGATTCTATTTAAGTCTTTCTGGATCTTTGTAATAGTTTTTTCAGGGGTTGTTGTGAGGCTTGTATCTGCAGAAAGAAGGGGTTGTTCTTGAGATCAAGACAAGAAGAGAAGATGCCAAACGAATGTTTCAAAGCAAAACCAAACC